CTTCGGCTTCGAGAAGCACAGATCTCGTGCGCTATCAAGTCAAGCCGCGCTAGCTCAGATGGAACCATGTATCCCAACAGCCCTGAAACCGTCCACCCACCCAAATCTTTGCAGGGCTCGGGATCTATAGAGCTGTCTCTCACTCTCCAGCTCATGCAATATGGTGCACGGCCTCCGAACTCTGCGATGTTGTGAGCTAGATCTGTGACAAGTGACTAACTACTACATTGATACTGAAAGGGATCAGTTGACATAGTATACATCACGTTGCCAACCCCTCGAACTTTGCTCACTCAGGCTTGGCTTAGGGTGTGGCTGTTTTGCGTATTGGTGCGTTTTGGCTTAGGGGGTGTGGCTGTTTTGCTTATTGGGCGCGGCTGTTTTGTGCGTTGGTGCGTCTTTGTTGGGCGGTGCTCCTGCTGGTGGTGCTGCTGGTGTTGGTGCCTTGTCAGTCGGCGCATTTTTGTACAGAATCCTATTCGGTTGCACTGCTTTCGTGCTGGTGCTACTGCTGTTGGTAGTGGCGTGGCTGGTGGTGATGTTGCTGTTGCTGTTGGTGTTGCTCGACAAAAAGGACCGCAACACACTTGAATGTCACGCGTGATCGTGGCCATTGGCGCGCACATGAGAGAACTTCAAAAACTCAAAGCGCATGCGCAAAGATGACACGCGTGACCGCTTGAGCAGTGGTGCCACTTGAACAGCGGCCATGGACACGCGCATGACGTGACATGCGTGGCCACTTGAGCAGTGGCGCCACTTGAGCAGTGGCCATGGACCCTCTAAACCCCAAACCAGCTTACGAAGCCCGCCCCTCGGATCTGACAGTATCCTGACAGAGGGGGTGCAAAGAGTTGGGTTCGGAATTGGCTTTTTGCATGTTGTTTTAAAGGAAGGGGGTGGAAGGTTCGGGGGCTTGGAAGGTTATTGGGTTTGGGTTTCAGGCATGCAAAAGGCGCTATGTCAAGGGGATCGAAGGTGCACGGTCATGGCAAGACAAGACTGGCCGATTATGATTTCTTGCTCAGGACATTCGCTAAACCGGTTGGTTAAGCTTGCGGCTGCTTTGCGGGGTGGGTGCTTGAGTATGACATTATCCTATGTTGGTCGCCCCTGTCATCAGGGCCCTTTCTTTCGGGGCCCGTTTATACCTGCAACCACTAGCTAGACTGCAATCTCCAAGCCCCTGCTGTCAAGCTTACACCCCTGCCCTTCAACCCCTGACACCCTATCCCTAACCCTAAGCCTTACAGATTCTGAAAAAACTTTAGGGTTTAGGGTTTAGGGGTTAGGGTCCAGCCACCTCGATGTCATAGCTCCCCCGTTGCTGCAATCTCTGACAAGGGGGTTTGCGTGGGCAGGGGGTTGGGCAACTGTGTGAGAAAACCACCAAGCCTGAAGACCCTTACTTATCTTGGCCTGTTGTGGCAAGACTGAGCGATTATGATTTCTTGCTCAGCTTGCGGCTGCTTTGAGGGGCGGGTGCTTGAGTATGACAGTATCCTATGTTGGTAGCCCCTGTCATCAGGGGCGTTTTTTTTAGGGGCCCATTAGTATCTGCAATCACTAGCTGCAATCTCTGACAGGGAGTTTGCGTGGGCTGGGAGTTGGGCAACTGTGTGGAAAAAACCAAGCCTGAAGACGCTTACGTATGTTGGCGTGTCTTTGTAAGCAAAGCTTTTCTCGCACAAGCACGCTTAAGACTTTCTGTTGTTGCATACACTTTGTTTAAACATGAGTGAACAAAGCAAAACGTTGTTTCGGAACACCAGCTACACCACTGGTTTGAAAACAGCACTCTGGAAAATAGTTTAAACCCAGCTTCTATCTACAGTTGAGTAAGACAGCACAGATATGACATACACGCGTGCTTACATTTGCATACACAAATGTGTGGCGCATGTGAAGGGCGGCCCCACCACTCCACCGTGTCACAGACAAGAGCATGCGACGCAAAAACGTAAGACCCGGATACAAAACGGAAAAGACCCGGATGCAACCGGAAGCCGATCACTGGTTCTGTATGTTTTGTGGCCGTTTATGTCGGGTTTAGGTTTAGGGTATAGGGTTTCAACTTTCACACATGTTCCTGCCACAAACGTGCACCAGCATGCTTTTCCCATCGGAAACGGCCAGGGCATCATGGAATTTGGAAGTCCCTACTGTAAGAAGTCTTAGGCCCCCATGCCAAGTCCGAAAATCCTGTTAGCATCTTCATGTTTAGGCTGGAGACTGAAACTCTCGGGTTTCAGGTTTAGGGCCAAAGCTTAGGGAAGTGTGGGGACTATCTTCAAGTCAAAAAGCTTGTCCACCCCTTAGAGCTCTTAAGAAGTCCCCCACGCTAAAACTGACACCTTCAAGTTTAGATTGCAGGCTTAAACACTTGGTTTTCAGGTTTAGGGGGGCTTAAACTCAACTGTTGGTTTTCAGGTTTAGGGGGGTTTAAGGACTATCTTAAAGTCAAAAAACAGCTTTCCCGCCACTTAGAGCCCTTAAGAAGTCCTAGACATCTTCAGTCTAGGTTGGAGGCTTAAACTTTTGGTTTGCAGGCTTAGGGAAGTTTAGGGACTATCTTTGAGTTAAAATATTTTTGATTTGAGCACCGGGTTTTCGCGAGGTCTCGGTTGCGGCTTTTGGCCTCTGACAACAGTTTGAGACATTGGGAGGTATCTTTGCGGCCTCTGGACACTATTTTGAAGCACAGGGTGTTTCTTTTACCTTCGCGTGACAAAATCATTCCAAAATGGGACAACAGGCGAGAAGCAAACATTTACCCGACCGAATCACTCCCAACAGTGATGCGAAGCCACAATTCCATACCCCAACTACAAAATCTACATAATCTACGAGGTTGGGTCGCTCCCATGTCGCTCCTCGTGTCGCTCCTCGTGTCGCTCCTCGTGTCGCTCCTCGTGTCGCTCCCCGTGTCGCTCCCGTCGCTCCCCGTGTCGCTCCCGTCGCTCCCCTTGTTGCCACGGGAGCGACGCAAGGAGCGACAGGAGCGACACAGGGAGCGACAGGAGCAACAAGGGGAGCGACGGGAGCGACACGGGGAGCGACACGAGGAGCGACACGAGGAGCGACACGAGGAGCGACACGGGAGCGACCCAACCTCGTAGATTATGTATAGATTTTGTAGTTGGGGTATGGAATTGTGGCTTCGCATCACTGTTGGGAGTGATTCGGTCGGGTAAAAGTTTGTTTTTCGCCTGTTGTCCCGTTTTGGAATGATTTTGTCACGTGAAGGTAAAAGAAACACCCTGTGCTTCAAAATAGTGTCCAGAGGCCGCAAAGATACCTCCCAATGTCTCAAACTGTTGTCAGAGGCCAAAAGCCGCAACCGAGCCCTCGCGAAAACCCGGTGCTCAAATCAAAAATATTTTAACTCAAAGATAGTCCCTAAACTTCCCTAAGCCTGCAAACCAAAAGTTTAAGCCTCCAACCTAAACTGAAGATGTCTAGGACTTCTTAAGGGCTCTAAGGGGCGGGAAAGCTGTTTTTTGACTTTAAGATAGTCCTTAAACCCCCCTAAACCTGAAAACCAAGAGTTGAGTTTAAGCCCCCCTAAACCTGAAAACCAAGTGTTTAAGCCTGCAATCTAAACTTGAAGGTGTCAGTTTTAGCGTGGGGGACTTCTTAAGAGCTCTAAGGGGTGGACAAGCTTTTTGACTTGAAGATAGTCCCCACACTTCCCCAAACTTTGGCCCTAAACCTGAAACCCGAGAGTTCAGTCTCCAGCCTAAACTTGAAGATTTTAACATGATTTTCGGACTTGGCATGGGGGCCTAAGACTTCTTAGGGACTCCAAGGGGCGGGGTGCTGATTTGAGCCAATTCTGAAGGGAAGCATTTGTAGGGCCCTAAGCCCTCAACACCAAATTGCCCAGGTCAAGACGCTGTTTTTGCTCAGCTTCCAAATTCCATAATGCCCTGGCCGTTTCCGAGGGGAAAAGCATGATGGTGCACCGTTGTGACAGGAACACGTGCGAAGTTTGAAACCCTAGCCTATACCCTAAACCTAAGCCCGACAAAGTCAATGTGTCCAGATTAAGTACAAACAAAACATGTGCAGTCTGAGGGCCTGAGGCAGGGGTTTTCAGTCATTCCCAAACAGTGCCTTGAAGCGCAACTCGAAATCCCAGGATTTACATCGAAAAAAACACGCGGATGATCATCCCGTACAACCAAAAGGCCCTTGAAACTGAACCTTAGAATCGAAACGATTTGTGAGTGAGGTCAAGACCTTCCAAATCCAGCTTTGACAGCGGCCAGCAGTGACAATTTCTCGAAAGCTTAAATTCATGGTTTCCAGAATGTCGCCCAGAAATTGCTCCAAAAAATGGTTGCCAAACCAGGTCCCAGAGCAAGTTTTTTTTCAAACGTATTGTCGTGCTTAAAGTCCAGGATTTTTCCTGAACCCCTAGCCGTTTTGCATGCCGGAAACCCTAGGGTTCGGGCCCCCGGGGGCTTTCTTACCCGCGCTTAGTCTGCTGTCAGCCATCATTTTGTTTGTCCATTTGAGTGCTGTTTCGTGCCAGCATCTGGCATCTAAAACTTCCAGCGCCAATGCGAATTCTTCAACAGTGCAGGCTAACGGGATCCAAAGCTTTAGCAGGAGTGCCCACTAGGCAACCGGACACCCTGACTATTCGGACAAAGATGGGCCCTATATACCCTAAAAGGAGCACGGACCACCACAGAATGACCATCATCTGGAAAGAAGTTTTCGCCTACCCCGGAAGGAATGTGGGTGTTGAGAAGTCGCACAAAAGCCAAAAATCTTAAACAACACCCGAATCCAGAAGTGCGGCGCCACCTCCAGTTACTGAAGGGAGCACGATCGCAACGACATAGCACTTGCGCTGGGCAAGTCAGGATGACAGACATCTGCCCTGCCTAGAGACGAACTGGCATGCTTGCGGTGTGCTACAGGGCACTGACAGGTTGAGGGTTTCAGCTGGCTCGTGCTTTATTTAAGCTGACTGCTACATTTACGGGCTTATGCAAGCTTTCAGTTATTCAAGAGGTCCAGAAATGGTTCAGACGAACCAGAGTGCATCCAGTCAGGCTGCTGCCCTTCTTCGAACAGTGGCCCTCTCAGGGTTCTTTGTCGCGAACTTCGTTGCCGCTCAAGGTTTATTTCAAGGTTCCTCTGAAGGAGACCTCGCTGAGCCCCTAAAGTGGCTCTGCGAGAATGTGGTCAACCCCATCCTTTTTGAATGGACCAGTGCAAAAGGCGATGTGTGGACAAATAGCAAGCTTGCCGATGATTGGCTATTTAGATGGGCCCCACCAGATATCACAGCAGCTGACATTTTCACCACGGTGATATACCGTGTCCTTCCAGGTCTCCTCATCCTGTACTCTACATGTCTGCTCTGCGCATTGCTTGCAAACTGTGTTCAGCTCTTGGTCCCCGCGATCGGCTGTGTGCAGCACCGGCTCCCGTGGCTCGATGTGACTATCAGGAAGCAGCGTGCGCAGGCCAAAAGGACAAGAGCACAGCAGGCGATAGAGGAGCTGCTTCAGAAGCAGCCGCTGCCGTCTAGATTCCGCGACGTGGATCCCAGTCTCCGGCCCGTCGTCCTTCTCGCCTGGCCTTGGCAAGGAGGAGGGCTGCTCCAAACACTGGCGTTGCTGATTTTGGACATCGGCCTCGACGTCAAGACACTCAGCGATGTGCTGTCCGCAAAGCATTACGCTTTTGCTTCCGTCACGGCCTTCATCGTGACTCGCAGTGCTCTTAAGCAATTGGCCGTCTTGCCCCCTTGGAACCTCCGGCAGGCCCGCTTGGAGGTGTGTTTCGTATAATGACAGATTTATGCTTTCGAGGTTCTACGGTTCTACCATGTTCTACAGTATGTATGGCTGCTGCGAGCTTTGCATAGTCTCTTTTTGCTATTGCTATGACTCTTCCAAATATCGCGCATGTCCGTGCAGGCGATACGGGAGAGTGTGGGGCGAGGCCTGCTGCGGGAGGACCTCCTGGAGTTCATAGAAGAAGCTAGGCAATTGTTTCGTGAGGTTTCTCTGAGGTGAGGGACCCCTTTTCTCACCGAGTTTTCGCTTGTGTCACAGCCCCAAAGCACAAAGATATTCATGTTCACTGGCTGCGGGCCTTGCCGCAGCTCAGGCAGAGAGACGCTCAGAAACGTTCTTCTGCGCGTGCATCACTGCCTATGCCATGCTGTACGCAGCCCAAACAGCCGGTCAGCTCGTGACCCAGTTTGGCAGCCTTCTGCTAAGCACATGGCTATTTGCAGGCTCGGCATTGAACAGAGGCATCTTTTAGACGCAGGGCCCAGGCTTCAGGTTCATTGCAGTCTGAGGGCAAATACGGCTGGCAGGTTATGCCGTCAGAATCTGCGACCTGGAGCTCGATATGGACAATTTCGGTACAGATGTGGCTTGCCCTGATGTTGTGAGCATCAGAATCGACGAGCTCAAGAAGGACCCCCTCTTCTGCGGCTGTAGCCCTGAACGAAAATTTGCTAGACGCATCATAGAGTCACAGCGTACCTGATAGTCAAGCGCGCAAGGATGGCGATGATGAGCTCCCTGCGACCGCCGCTTCTCGAAACGGTTTGAAGCCAATTGATTTTGCAAGCGTAGAATACCTCAAATCGGAGTTTGCGACAGGTTTTTGCATGAACACACAAATATCAAGAATTGTGAGCAGGAGCCGTCTGTAGCCTCTTGCGCCCAAGGTCTCCGGGGATGCCAACGATGAGCTGCAGCAGGCTCAGGAGGCTCCTGATCAAGGCGGATCCTCCAACGACTCGGAGCTCAGCTTTCAGCAGGCGCCGGAGAGTTTTGCCGAAAATTCTGTGCCTTAGTCGAAACTAAACCTAGGAAGGGTCAAGGATTGGGTCAGGGATTCGGGTTAAAGGTTGAAGTGATGCAGTTTGGATTTTCAATCTTCGCAGAATCGTAAATCCGGAGGCGTTCTATGCTACCAGGCAGATTGTGTAGGCTCACGGTTAAACAGGGATGCCCACAACATGGACCAGAAGCCTAGGTCGGATTCGAGATCTGACCAGCCTACCCAATGTCGTCAGAGAGGCTCGTTGGAAGCAATACTCTGCCAACTTGCGCATGAACCCTAAACCCTAACCCTAAACCCTAAACCCGAAACCCAGCAAAAAGACTGATGATGAAGACGAAGGCGCGGAGCAGAAAGAGCCTGGTGCAGCTCGTCTCTCGGCCATCAAAAGGTTTCGCTGGTGCGCGAAGGGCTGCGAAAGGGGCGTTTAAGACAGACCTAGAGCGAGTTGTCGCGTGACGGGGGTGGTGTTTCCATTGTTCATGTCATGTTGTTGAAATGTTCTTGAATCCGGAAGTTCCTGTGCCATTTTAGCAGGGGCTTCTAGACTACGGAGGTGGACTTCAGGAGCACCCACGCCCTCTTGTCCCGTCCCTTCCGCATCGTGTTCGGACCCGAAGCCCTCAATAAAGGCAAACCTGAAACTGAAAGGTGGAACAACCTGTACACCATCAGGCTCAGAGCAGCTTTTCAATACCAGCATACCGAATGTCATTAGAGGGGCCGGGTGCAAAAACAATGCTGAAGTCTTGCTGACAGGCTCCCCTTGCTGAAAATTGCTTGCCTGCCATGCCAAGGATTGCCAACCAGCATCAGAAGCCAGTTAACAAGCCGGACTGTCAAGACTTTTCATTTTCGGGATGTGCAGAGGCTGCGGGATAAATCCTCGCAACGCCCTGCCGCTGCCCTCATTATAGTGGGGCTGCTGTCTGGGCGTCCCACATGAAAGATCTTCTTCTTTCCCGCCGAGCGTGTGCTCTCCGTGGCTCAAGGCCATGAGGGGGGGACTAGAAGAAGCCCAGAAACCGAGAAACGCGCAGGAAAGACTCAAGCCGATCTGCAGACCTTGATGAATGTTCATCATGCCTTGCTCCCCAAAGCTCTATACAAGTCTTAAACCACAAGGATGTCGGGTTTAGCGTTCAGGGTTTCGGGTTTGGGGCGAGTTGCGCCCATCTTGGCCCCTGTGCGCCTGGCTCGAGCCTGTAATCGGGCTGCAAAACTTCCGAGCTGGCCGCGCTGTGCATGGGCATGGCGCGGCAGTCCTCCAAGGGTTCCCACGAAGACTCCGATGCCGCTTCGCCACGCCATGCCAGGCCGGGCGAGGGCGGGATTCAGGGCTTGCTGGGGGTTGAGGGGATGAAGGGGTTTAGGCTGTTTAGGGTTTAGGGTTTAGGATTTAGGGTTTAGGGTTTAGGGTTTAGGGCTGGGGTTTAGGGTGGAGGGAATGAGAGCCTTACACCATTCTGCTACAGAATGCTTCTGAAGTTGAATCCACTGCAAAGCAGAACCCTAGGTTCAAACCCTGGTCCTAAACCCCAAACCCCAAACCCCAAACCCCAAACCCTAAACCCTAAACCCTAAACCCTAAGCCCTAAACCCTAAACCCTAAACCCTAAACCCTAAACCCTAAACCCTACAGACGGGTCGGTAACGGGGGTGGCTTTCCATGGTTCTTTCTGGTGTGCGTCCATCGGTGCCGACTGCTGGGTGCGACTTCCTCCTTGCTGACAACGTGGCCTTTTGTGGACTTCACACGATTTTACCTCATTATGGGGCTTATGCTAAGGGTTTAGGGTTTGGGATTAGGGTTTAGGGTTTAGGGTTTAGGGTTTAGGGTTTAGGGTTTAGGGTTTAGGGTTTAGGGTTTAGGGTTTAGGGTTTAGGGTTTAGGGTTTAGGGTTTAGGATTAGGGTTTAGGGTTCAGGGTTCAGGGTTTAGGGTTTAGGGTTTAGGGTTTAGGGTTTAGGGTTTAGGGTTTAGGGTTTAGGGTTCAGGGTTTAGGGTTTAGGGTTTAGGGTTAGGGCATAGGGTTTAGGGTCCCTAAGGGTCCATGTACCTTATGATTATATCCTCTGAGCAGGAAATACTTTAAGGCCCAAGTAACGCATATTTAGGTACATGGACCCTTAGGGTCAGAGTTGCCTTCCAGACTTCTTTCTGTCTACCCTTTTTCTTTGAAGATGCCGTTTCGCGACGGAAACGCGCGTTACGCGTTGCCGTTGTTTCGTTGCCGTTGTTGTTTTAAATGGATTTTTGGGCATGCCGTTGTTTTTCCCCTGGCTGGGGGTGGGGTGGGGTGGGTGGGGGTGGTTGGGTGGGTGGGGGGGGTTGGGTGGGTGGGGGGGGGTTGGGGGGGGGGGGGGGGGGGGGGGGATAGGTATCTTTTGTTATATAGTGAGTCTGTAATGCTTAACCATTAGTCTTTGAGCCCTATATGCCTAGACACCAGCGCCCCACTTGCGCTGAGAGCAAGGAGGGCTAGATGAAGGTGGCCGAAACTCCAAACCCCAAACACTGAACCCTAAACCCTAAACCCTAAACCCTAAACCCTAAACCCTAAACCCTAAACCCTAAACCCTAAACCCTAAACCCCAGGCCTGGAAGCTTCTAAACACGCTTCTTCAGGGCTACTGGTGAGGAGGATCCGTAAGAACCCACTACCGAAGTGAAACTCTTCTGGGGAGACTCTGAGTACATCTGGAATGTGGAGAGTCTGTGTACAGAGAATGTAGAACCCCTTCAAAGACATTTAAAACAAAAACAAGCATGATGTTAAGGCTCAGGATTCCGGTTTGCAAGTTTGTGGTGAGCAGCGACACGTAACCCTGAAACCTCACAAGCAACTCTAAACCCCAAACCCTAAACCCCAAAGCCTAAACCCCAAACCCTAAACCCTAAACCATCACTAAACCCCAAACCCTAAACCCTAAACCCTGAACCTTGCAACCGTCAGCGCTGACTCCTTCTGGGATCTCCACCGCCGCCTTGCGGAGTGAGACTTGGCCTGCGTCCAGAAACTCCCCCATAAGGGTCCATGTACCCAAATAGGGTTTGAGGTTTAGGGTTTAGGGTTTAGGGTTTAGGGTTTAGGGTTTAGGGTTTAGGGTTCCTAAACAGGGAATACTCGGGCCTTAAAGGTACTTCCTACGTAGGGACTTTGGGGGCCAAGAGTATAATAATAAGGTACATGGGCCCTTCGGGGAAGACTACAGAAGCACCTCCAACGCTACAAGCCTTAGAAGGCGTCGAGGGTTTAGGGTTTAAAGGGTTTATAGGGTTTAGGGTCTAGGGGCTAGGGTCTATAGGGTCTAGGGTCTAGGGTTTAGGCATTTTATTGTTTGGGGTCTAAGAAGAACAAAAGTAACTCGACTGTCGGCTTTGGTTTCCTGGGTGGAGGATTCGAAAACCCCCTTGTACGGAGCTCCCTCCACCCAAGAAAAGGCCTCCGAAATCCTAAACCCTAAAACCTGAACCCCAAGCCCTAAACCCTAAACCCTAAACCCTAAACCCTAAACCCTAAACCCTAAACCCTAAACCACAAGCTTCGACGATGCCGGCTTCGGAGCTTAGGGGTTTGTCAGGATCTCAAGCTCATGGAAGATTCACTTGTAGGGGTGAGTAGGGTTTAGGGTTTAGGGTTTAGGGTTTAGGGTTTAGGGTTTAGGGTTTCGCGTTTAGGGTTTAGGGTTTAGGGTTTAGGGTTTAGGGATTGAGTATAAGTATAGGGGTTATGGGGTTTCGGGTTTTGATGTGAATGTTCAGAGTTGAGGATTTAGGTTGCAGTGGGGCCTGGATGTAGGGTCCTGCTGCCGGAGCTTTCTTCCGAGGTGGCAAAAAAGGAGGGCCCTCAACACTAAAGCCTATAAGTATACGTCCCTCAACCCCACAGAAACCGCAAACCCCGTTGGGGTTTTGGGTGTTAAGGGTGCAGGGTTTTTAGGGTTTGGGTGTGGCGTTTTAGGGTTTTAGGGATTTAGCGCTATTA